ATTCTAAAAGATTCTCTAATGCTATCAGTAGAATCAGATTGTGATGAGTTGTGTGAGTTGATTGAGAGCTCTGTGCTGTCTGCTGTGATGATTGATGTTGAAATTCTTTGTTTGCTGTTGTGCATCTGTACACAGTTTGCAAGAAGTATGATTGCTTTGTTGAAATTCATATTTCAGTCTTGATTAACTTCATGTCTAAGTTTTTGTTGCAGTGTGGACAACAGTGTCTCATCATGATAGAAGTCTGTGTAGTCTGTGTGATGACTGGATGTGTCTGCAGAATTCATTTTTTCTGAATGATGCTGCAATATGAAGTCATATGTGCTGAATGCTTCTGCTCATCTTGCCTGACATCAGTTCAATGTCTTAGTTGTCATAAAATATTGAAGATTGACATGATCTGACAAGACAATTACTGATTTCTGACTCCTCTTCAGATAGTGTCTCCAGTGCTTGAAGACAGCAACTATTGCTAGAAGCTCTTTGTTATGAATATTATAGTGAGTTTCAGTATCTATCAGCTTTCAGAATCAGAAGATGACAGAGTGTCAGAGATTGTTCTTCTGAAGTTATGACAAGATGACTGCAATAGCATGAGTTGAGATATCAAGTTTGAGTTTAATTTGACACCAGTAATTGAAGTGAGCAAGTAATGGAGCAGATGTGAAGTACTTTTTGAGTTAGTTAAATATGCTTTAAGCTTCTTCAGTTCAGATGAATGTTGATCTCTGCTTTTCTTTCTTTTCTCCTGCAGTGAGTGCAAAGAGTGGGTTGACAATTTTCAAATAGAAGTGAATGAATCTGCAGTAAAAATTTGTAAACTTCAAAAAGAATTGAATCTTCTTAACACTAGTGAGATTAAATTATTCAAGAATGATCTTGACTCTTTCTTCCTCCATTGAAATGTCATTTGGGCTGACTATAAATCTGAGAAAGAAAGTCTTGTCAGTAGCAAACTCACATTTACTATTCTTGATGAAAAGACAAGCTTGCTTCAAGTGTTTTAGAACTGTCTGAACATGTGTGGTGTGCTCATTCATTATATTAAAATAGATGAGAATATCATCAAGATACACCACACAACACACATCTAGCAGGTCAGCTAGAGCTTCATTAATGTATACTTGAAATGTTGCTGGAGTGTTGGTGAGTCCAAAAGATAGAACACAGTATTCATAATATTTATAGTGTGTGCAGAATGCTGTCATCCAGTGGTCTTTTCATCAGATGTAAATGTGATGATAAATGTTGTGGAGATCTAGTTTGGTGTATAATTTTACTTCTGCTAGTCTATTCAACATTTCTGTCATCAGCAGCAGTGGATGACAGTTTTTGAGTGTAATGCAGTTTAATTCTCTGTAGTCTACATAGAGGTGTAGACCACCATCTTTTTTCAGAATGAATAATATTAATGCACTGGTGGGGCTTTTTGAGGATTGAATCCATTCTTTTTCTAGTGCAGCTGCTATATATTTTCAGAGGACAGCAAGTTCACTTTCTGAGAGATTGTATATTGATAGAAATGGTGGTTTTTTGCCAAATTTCAATTCAATGGTGTGTTCTGCTGTTGAGTGATACTCTAAAATGTTGATGTTTTCTTCTGAGAAGAGGTGTGCAAACAGCTGCACAAATTCTGATAGTTTCAGAATATTTACATGTGTGGTTGCATTGAGTGCAATACTTTCTGTGTTTTGTGCAAATAGTTTGTCAATTGAGATAAGATATGTGGGTGTGCTGGAGAGAATCTCTTTTATTGCTGTCTCAGCTGTTATGAAGTCAGATTCTTCATTTGATTCTTCTTCTTCTAGATGATAGACTCAATTGTCTTTCTGTCAGTTGACAATTGGGTTAATGGTTTTGAGTCAGAAGAATTTCAGAATCATATTATAAATGTTCAAGATAACTGCTTCAAATACTTGTTGTGCTTCTTGCATTGTTCTCTTGTGGTCAGTTGTGCTGACTGCAAGATCATATGTCCCAAAGATTTGCACTTGATGTCCATCAATGACTTAAACTAATTTTAGCATCATGAACTTTAATATTAGACCTTGTGACTTGACCCAAAATTGACTCACAAAGTTGGCTTCCACTCCAGAGTCTACTAAAATGAGCACATCTTTGATGCTCTTGGGAGTTTTGATCTGAATCATAATGAGAAATGAAAGTGAACTGGCATGTCACAATTTGTGAAGATTGAGAGCTATCATGATATTAATAGCTTTTTTTATTTATTTTTTGACACTTTGTCTGTAGATTTTTTTGAATTTATCTTCAGCTTTTTTCTGAGAAAGCATTCTTCAGTGGAGTGTTCTGATCTTTTGTGAAGATTGCACCATGATTTATCACTTGTGGTCTTGCACTTATGAGAGTTGGATTTTTCTTTCTTTTGTGATTTTCTTGAGAAGCTCTTTGTGCTTTTCTTAAGTTTCTCTGTACACTCTTTAATATTATCTTTGCAGATGGCCAGTTGTGTGACAAGTTCTTCATAGGACAAGTTGTCAATAGTGACAGCATGTTTGTCAAATTCAGATCTGATTTCTGAGAGAATTTTGCAAACAAGATGCATCTTGCACTGTTTCTCTGTGTATTTGTATGAAAGTCACCATTCAAATGACTTGAGAATGCTGCTGAAGTCATGAATGAATTGATTATCTCACTGTTTCAGCTCAAGATATTTGTGCTCAGTGTCCCAGAAGACTCTTTCAGAGTTCATGATCTGTTATGAGAGTCAATTGCTGAATTTGATTTATGAGAGTAGGATGATTAGAGTGGTGGTGTGGTGATTTCACTTGATAAGAAGCTTGATTTCAAAATGTTGTACTGCTTCAAGCATCTTGTGATCATTGTGATCTCTAAAGTATGCTGCTTGATATGTGTGAAATATCATGTATTGATTTAGAAATTTCTCAAGTTCTTTGAGATTCTTAACTGCAAACTTTTTATCATTCTTGCATGTTGGAGCCCTGCCTGCATCTACTGTACTTAGTGATTGTAGTCATGAGACTTCATCTGTTTCAGTCTGAATGTTTGAGTGACTTTCTGAGAGTGTGACCATCTGGGTGGTGGCTTCTTGTAGAGATTCATTTAGATTTCACACATGTAGCATTTTTTCCAGTCTTGGTTGGCATGGAGTGAAGATTGAAACTGTGTAGTGAGGAAATTTCTCTATTGGAGTGGTTCTTCTTTCTATAATTGCACACATTGCATTGATTTTCTGTTGCAGGTCTTGAATATGTTTTTTCTGTTGTAGAACTTGTAGTTCTTTACTTAATTTTACAAGCAAGACTTCATCTTGATTATTGTTCTCAGTATTCAACAGATTGTTTGCAGAGGCAGCAAGAGTGTGGCTTGTGCATGTTTCAGTGTCTTGAGACACATCCTGCTGTTCAGATGGGGGGGAGTCAGTGTGAGTGCTGGACTCAGCTGTTTGCAGTACAATTTCAATTTCATTCATTCTTATGGGAGATTGCATGAATGGCCCCAGCTGTTCAGAAGTTTTCTGATGTTCTGGTAGTGTTGAAAGATCAGACATTGAGCAAGTGTCTTCAGAGGTCTTTCTGCAGGTTCATCAGCTCATCTTGTTGATGGAGAGTGTTTTGTGTTGTTTCTTTCAATAAAAAGTCATGTGTTGTGTTAATGTTTGATGCAAGTGCTGGTAGCAGCCTGTCTGATGAACTGTCTCTCATGGTGAGAGAAAGTGATGAGAAACTGTGAGGAGCTAGGTCTAATGAACATATAATCAAAACAGAAATGAGCTACTAGTGTAGAGAATATAAGAAAATATGTGATGGAAGCAAGTATATAGTATATGCTATAAGTAGATAGAGCTCATCACTGACCTGTGTAAGAACAGAGGCAGTGTTGAGAGATTATATACAAGTGAGGTGTGTGCTACTAAGGTCTAAAGAGTCTAGTGTTAGAGTCTGGCATGACAGCTTCAGAAGAAGCAAAAAGATCTCTTGAAGATATTTTTTTAAACTTTTATTATAAGTTATCTATATATTTATTAGCTGAATTGTACTGATATATTTGAATAGTGAATTGAAATTAAAGTTGGCTCTCTCAGAAGTGATGTTACAGCTCTTTGAAAAAAGATTGAAAGTGTTTCTACTGATGATGTGAGTAGTTTGATATTCTGTGAATAATGAATTGTACTGATGAAATATATAGAAAAAAAAAAGATTGAAAGTTCCACTGCTGATCTGCTGATGAAGTCTGCTTGCTCTGCTTCTCTTTTTCAGATGATATCAACTTCAGCTCTCTGTGTTTTATTTAATGATGTGCTGTTGACTGTGTCTGACTCTAATCAGATTTTTGAAATTCTGTAAAAAATCACAGAATAAATTTTGTTGTCTCTGTTGTAATTCTTTGCATCTGTTGTGCTGTTATTGTCCTCCTTCATCTCTACTGAAAGTCTAGTTGACTTTGAGTCTGTTTTAGTAGATGAAGAAATAAAGAAGATCCAGAAGAGACATGATTTTATTTTGAAGAACTGATTTTTTTATATTTTTGTCTTTGAGTGAGTGAATAAATGAGTTCTTGTTTTTATTCTTCTGTTTTTATCTTCAGGTGAGTGGGTGGAAGGGTTTTTAAAATAGTTTTTATCAATGGCACCATTCTTTCTTCCTGATTGGAATTCTGAACTCATGCATTTCAAGTAGTTATGTAGGTGACCCTTCCTATGGATTTCCAATTTAAACATTGATCTCATGAGCTTCTATGTGGGTTCTATGTTCTTGGCATGGAATCTACATATCAGATTGGATGAATGGTAATCCAACAGTATTCAAAAAATCCATTTTTCCGGTATGGTCCGAATAACATGTCACGTGATGATATAGGAAGCCCATTTGAGTTTGCTGCACTGATATTGGCAGTTTGAAGCGCATCTCGATTGCTTGCAGGTACAGAGTGGTTAAGAAGGATTATAGTTGGATATAAATGAATATAAATAACATATGTTCAAAAGCAAAAAATACATTATCTTGCGTCTCGCGCTCCTACGAGAATTGACTCAGCCCCTGTAGGTCTTCTTCGCGCTGTCTGTCCAACCTGGCCTTCTTCTTCCGCTCATATATTCCTCGAACCACTCTTTTCACCTGGTCCTCACCCTCAGCAAAATTCGCTTTTGCAAGCGCAACCACAGCGTCAACTTGCTCCGGGGTATATACAAAATTCCACGTGCTCAAGAAGTCGTCGCTATTGGGGTCTATTGGAGTGCCATTGCCAGTTTCCCTAGCGCCACGAACCGTGGCTGCTGAGGCACCGGCTTTTGTGTCTTCCGTGGTGGAACCGCGCTTCTCGCTGTCAGAAACAAGAGGAGCAGCTGCAGGATTCGGGAGCAATGGAAAATAGGCGACTGCGATACCTGCATCGGGTCTCATAAGGTGAAAATTGGAATCGCGCTCGCCTGTGTCCATAAACGTCAGCCTCTTTGACGGAGGTGGCTCAGCCGTCGATGTTCTTTCCTCCGTGGAGCCAACCCAAATATTGCAATAGGTGAGGTCAGAGGTGCTTGGTTCAAAATGGGTCGGGAACTTTGGAATTCGATCTGCATCCGCATCCGCTTGCTGGGCCTTTTCATGGCTTTCTTCTGCAACTTGAAGTATGGAGGCTGTTTCTTCTGGTTGGATCCCGCTTTTGGGCCACCCTGTCCCCATGGGCCAACCTTTTATGCCACGTTGGCGGGCATAGCCATCAACCTCGGAAAGCCAGTTATCCTCACGGATGTCGGCCGAAACATCAAACGCGATAATCAGATCAACGTCCCGGTCCGCTCGTAGTAATGGATAAATAGGCAAATTGTTGCTCATTCCCGCATCCATTAGGCGAAGATGGGAATCTTTGAAAATGGATTCCGGGCAAGACCGCGGTAATCTGCCTTCTAACCTAAGCACAAAATTCGGCACCGTGGCTGGATCAATCGGATGTACCCGAGCAAGGTCCTCATTTCTTTCCTCAATCAACGAGGCAATTCCAGTGAACTCCGTTATGCCCGCCAATGCTGGACGTATTTCTTTATAGTAGTGAGCCAGAGTCGCACAGAAAGCGCTACCCCACACTCCCATTAAAGCAGGAATCCGCAACTCGGGTGTTGGAAACCCTTGTTGTGGTGGAACATCTTTACCGTCTTTAAAGTGTCGACCAAGTGCCCAAATCGGGATTCCAGCTCCAAACTCTTCGCAGAACAACTCATGTGGCGTGAATTCAAACCATTGAAACCAGCTTTCCTGCTTTGCTTTTTTTCGTATTTCTTCCAATTCGCTTGCATCTCCGGAACCCTTAGATACCGAAATTTTGGGTATTTCATGCCGGACGGCGGTGTATATAGGCAAGGGGTGAGCGCCCGAGTCGATATGCAGCCGTTGGTTTGATAATTTAAGATCCCGATCTAGGAGATGAATGTCGCCTTCGGAAGGAACAAGCAGTCTCGAAGCCAGTAGAAGCCCATATATATCGACCAGGCCAAAATCTGCGTTAGGATCACCTTTCATTTTTTCCACAAGACTCCTAAGCAGATATTTATTTGTTGGGGTTGTTGTGAGTAGATTCAAGGCGGTGGGCGGAAAAGCGACGTGGACACCAAGCCTACTTCTGAGATGTTTGACCATGACACCAAAATCTTGTTTCGCAAGAGACGAGTGATATATCGCCTGTAGCCAACAAGATCCGCTGACACCGGCAGTGTACATGGCGCAGTCCCATAGTCCAGCTTCCTTTGCAGCAAGGTACGAGCCAGTGCCTGCAACGAGTGCACGCAGGCCACCACCAGATGCGCACATGGCAATAACCGGTACGTCATCTGGATGGACATCCTCTTTAAGGTCAAGGTATTCAGCCAGCTTTTTTGCTATCATCCGTCGCCGTCGCCACTGAAAATACCGCTCTTCCCGACATATCCCATCGCTAATCCGTACCGCGGCCCGGCTTGTTATCTCCGGGTTTATACTTGCGTCTTGCGCTTCTGCCCAGATTTCATCGGCCAAGGACCCTGGGGCCATAGATAGTTCGCGTTGAAGATTTTGCAGTTTGTCCGGAAGCAGTGCGGTCCATGTCGGTACGATATAGCTTTTTAGATGTTCCGTCCACTCTGCAGAACCGGAAGAATCTTTCGCAATCCCGAGTTTGTGGGTCAGTTTCTTCCACGCTGATAGTTCTTCTTCCGAGATTTTCTCCGTTGGCGGACGGCCCCCATGCGAATCATCTTCGGGCGTTGAGTCCCCATTGCGATTTGAGGATGACGAACGGGCGCCAACTTGGTTCGTCCAAGATCCGATGTTGCGTCCTGAATCACAATTTACTGGCAGTCCATTATTGGTAAACACAAAGGCGGCGGAACACCCACTGCTTAGGAGTACACCAGCTCCTGATAGCCACTTCCACCTGCTTGATAAAACCCTGGCAGCGCCCATTGCAGCAAGGACACTGCCAGATTGACTCCAGGAGTATGAAAATCCATCAATGCCAGAGTTGTAAGGATGACACGGGGTTCATAAGGTGTTGTTGGGGATGCTCACGGGCCAGACCCGGCGATGACCTCATCGTTAGTTAACAGAGCACGTGGTACCCAGCTTAGTCATCTCCGTTGAAGCGGCGTTGTTCAGCTGCCCATTCGGGAAGTGGCAGTGACCTCATCCCGTCAAACGGCGTGTTGGCTGCGATGCGGAGCGGCATCAAGGCATTGGAACAGTGCTATCGCGGACGATGACCGGCGCATGCCAGACCATCAAGTAAGGAATCCAGTGGTTACCGGTAACTATTTTCTTGCTCTCCCCTTTGTTCACCTCCCGGATCCTTTGTCCTCGCTGACCCGCCCGTTACCATAGGCACCATGGTCGCCCCACGAAACGCCGTACATGCGGAAGAAAGCGCAGAGGTGGAGGTTCTGTACGCAGACCTCGAGAAGCTCAATACACTTACGAAGAGAATCCAGGGTTCATTATCGCGTCTTGAAGCTAGTGGGAAGGTGGTAAAGGATGCCATTGGTCCAATCTACAACAACACCCATGGCCTCCAAGTCACGAATAGCAATATTGAGAAGGTAAACGAGGCAATTGAAAGACTTCGTCGACCATTAGACGTCAAAGGGAAAGAAGAGGCCATTATTCGTGCTGGGTACTGTGTCCTCCTGCCTTCGATTGACCTCTCTAACGCAAGCTCTATAGTCCTGAGAGTACCGGCTTGCCCCAATACCTAGGCGCTTTGAATCGCATCAACATTGCCCTTACCGACCTTCATGCCACAAAACTTCGGTCTAACCAAAAGGCAATCTCAGAATTTACCGTCCTTTTAAGTACAGGTAGCAACCGAGTTCAAGACTTGTATCGCTCGATTCTGCAGGAAAACGTTGGCATTGTCGAACCACTCCATTATTTAACGAAGCGTATGTTTCCGACAGGATTAAGCCAGCTGATCATACTTGCTAATGACGTCTCTAGAAATTCCTTTCCCGTCAATTCCCAGTGACAAAGCTCAAGATTTAGCCCCACTCTGTGCAGCAATCTCCAATGCCTCAAAGAATATTTCAACGGGCGGCCAAAATGAAAACCCTGCTGTAACGATATATGCGGAAACCCGGGGTCCTTATCTCACATCCAGCTTGCAAAATCTTGCGACTGCCTCCGTCAGTACCGCCAAGCGGCGACCAGCCGATGGCCCCTATAAGCAAGGGACGAACGGTATTGGTGTCTATGCTAGTGGCATTGAAGAGATGTTTCTCGCCGAATACGAAAGTGTGAGCAGGGTATTCCCGCCCGATTGGCAAAGGAAAGCTTTACAGTCCACATGTCGATTTGCTCTGGCAGAGTTTTCGAAAACGCTTAGAGAACTGAACATGTATATCAAAACCAACTTGATGACGGATTGTTTTCTCGCGTTTGATATTATCGAAATCGTCACTTCTTTGTCATATCGCCTCGATTCAAAAACCGGAGAGTTGAAAACCCTTTTTTTCGAGGCGCTTCGGCCAATCCGGGAGACCGCGAAATCATCTCTCTCTGAGCTATTAGAAGAAACGCGCCGCAAGGCCTCTAATATTGCGGTATTGCCCGACGACGGGGCCCGCAGTCCCTCTAGTGAATGAGGGAATGAGCTCGCTGTCAACTTAGACAGCATATTCCACCCCCTCTTGCCTCCATTTCTCACGGTCTCTTGGAGACGGGAAACTTGGAAGCCATCCAGCTCAAACAATAGCACGCCATTGGACGTTAACCCGGACAGTTCGACTATCCTGTCCCATTTCATCCTTGATATGATAGATGCATTACTTTCAGCACTCGATATTCGAGCAAGGAACCTCCTCAGGACGAAATCGACTGTCGGGGTCTTCCTTGCTAACTGTGTATGCGTCGTCGACCGGTCCATTCAGAGTAGCAATGAGCTCTCCAAGTATCTTTCAACGCCGGAGAACGAAGCTCGTCTTGAAATTTGGCGCAAGAAAGCCGTATCGATTTACATCGACGCTTGGCGTGACCCATCGTCCCAGCTCCTCGATGTACAATACACAAGCCGAGGAGCGCGCCCGACGTCCGGTGGACCAGTCGACTCTACTGCAATTGTCAAATCCCTATCATCAAAGGACAAAGATATCATCAAAGACAAATTTAAAGCATTCAACTCTTCGTTTGAAGACTTGATTGCGCGCCATCAGTCATATAACATTGAGCGCCAGGTGCGTACTGCTTTGGCCAAGGAAGTGCAAAGCTTGATTGAGCCCCTATACGCAAGATTCTGGGACCGGTATCACGAAATTGATAAAGGGAAGGGTAAATACGTCAGATATGACAAGGGGGGTTTGGCAGCACAGTTGGCGGCACTCAATTAGTTGGTTGTTGTACTTATTATTCTGGTCTTTTGAGTTGCAGTCAGTTATATACCCCTTGTCTTTCTTAGATATATTGAGAAGCGACGATATTCTTTTTATAGAAGTTAAGCGTATTTTCAGAGACGACAACAATGAGCTTTCAGAGCCTTGAGCCTCGAGGGTCGAATAAATACCATCCAGTTAACCCTGAAATCAGTAGCCTTTCAACTTCCGGTATCAACGTTGAGCAGCAAATTTGTTCTTCTCTCCAGGTCACGAGCCTGGAGGTCCTTAAATGACTAACGAGTAACTACACGTTGGAAACAGGTAGACGACATACAGCATTCCACCATCAAAGCTCTTCATTATTCTTTCTAATATAGTGATATCTTAGCTACTGGCCAATGTGACAGTGTGATCTGTTCCAACCCATCAAAACGAGTACATTCGAATGTCAACGAGCTCTGGACCCCGCTCTTGGATCCCAAGAGTAACTCCTGAGTACCTAATTACCATATACCTCAATCCCCGTCAGTTTATCCCTGGGTTCTAAGACCAGCAGATTTCCGCCCCGTTTTAAAAAGCCTTAACGCGTTGTCAGCATCTTGACCAACGGTCGCCCATTTGCCAATAAAGTTGTGCTTGGAACGTTTGGAGCCTTGGATTGAAGTCCAGCATCAAAACATAAAAAAAGCCATGAATTTCGACAATGATATGACGACGGCTGGAGGAGGTGAAGTCGAAGCTGAACCGATGGAGAGGACTGAAAAAGGGTCTGCTTGTGAGTCTCGCTCACCCACCCAGCCTGATGGCTCATGAGATACCCTAGACACAACCGGTTCTTTGGTGAATTTCTACTCCATTTAAGAAGCCTTGATGTTCTCCTTGTGTATATTTGGTTCCCTATGGGAACCTTTATGCCCCCAATTCGTTACGCGCGACGCACCATGCCCAGATTTGCATGCGAATCGCATCATTTATTTATTTATTTATTTTTTTTATATTGGACTTTTGCACTGGAATCTACCATGTCTCTGAACCCCCAGCTAACCTTGAATGAAAACCCCACTGCAGCCGGCCGTCCGCAAACACGCAAAGGCCCCGGTCGCTTTTCATCCAGCCGCATATCCAGCTATGCGCACCCCGACGAGCTCCGAGCAACCTCAGAGATGCGCGAGCGCAGACACGCAGCGATGAGTATCCTAAATGACCCGGAGCTCCTAATGTTCCACGCCCTCTCCAGCAACGAGGTATGCAACCCATAACAGCTCAAAAGAAGCCCCCGCCCATATACCCATCCCCCCTGTTTCCAAGTAACTATACTAACTGAAACCCTCCCGCCTTGCCCCGTCTTGCACACAAAACAGTCCATTCCCCAAACCCGCAAACGCTTTCTCCACCACCTAATCGGCATCCCCCCGCCCACAACCCGCCCATTCGCCATCCGCGACATCTCCGAGCACCACCCCGAAGACACGCAGCACGTCTACCTCCGCCGCCAAACCCAATCCAAACGCGACGGTGCCGCGTCCGGAAGCACCAAGACGAGCTACACGGCTTACGAGCATGCGCCCACGATGATTGATATCATCGAAATCAATGGCGGGTGGGAAGATGACCCCGAGGATGAGGCTGGGCCTGGTAGGGCAAAGGGTGTTCAGGCAAGTGGAAGCAGTGGAGCTAGTCCGGGACCTTCTGGGAGGATGAAAGGGAAAGGGAGGGTTTGAAGTACCAGTCCTTGATTGATGTGTTTATTATTTGCTTTTCATTTTCAAATTCAAAGGGATCGAGCTGGTGGGTGCATAGTTTGGGGTTTAAACGTTACTAGAAAAGGATAGCAGCTAACAATGGGTATTTCGGCCACTCTCTGTGTATCAAATGTTAATAAATGCCTATGACGTCTATTCATGCTTTGTTGACTTCTCATGTATCTATACAGCTCCTTGGCCTTAGATATATACATGCAACAGTGCGTATGTACTCTAATAAACAATTTAGCATGTTGTCTCACAGGTAAGCAATATACAGGTACCAATAGTCCTCTAATGGAACGTAACGTGACTTGGTCATCGTCGTCCGTTAAGAGTCCTCTTCAGATTTTTGACTCTTTTCCATTTCCACTCAGTTTTCAGCGGTTCGCCTTAAATGCAGGTCGCGCCCGGCAGATAAAGTTGTTGAATAGTCCTGATAAGTGTATATACAAGCGACAGTGTATTCGATGGGATGAGGGTGTTCTGATATTCTAGTCATATCAGTCGTATGATCAGCGCGTGTACAGGGGGTGAGAAGTGAGGAAAGGGTTTGGGAGAATCTCTCTGCGTCGTTCAGAACCGAAAGGTCGAGGTAGGTGTAAAAGGTGTCATGAAAGATATCGCTCGTATTTGTATCGTAGTCTCGTCATTAGAACGTTCGCTTTGCCATTGTCTCGTTTTAAATTTGACCAGTTGAATAATCGGTCAGGTAAATTCACGGCGACTAGTCATGTTTAAGTCCAAAAAGCAGACTGCGTAAGAAGCGGAGGAATCGCCGAAGTTTTCTAATGCGCAAGAAAACGGTTATCCTTTACGTAGACGAAAGATTGTGTGAGTAATCATATTCTGTAGCTGGCCGAAAAGGGAAAACGGTAGCCGACGGGCGAGAGCCCACAGACATGGGTTCTCACCAACTTCTCTCTTGATGGACGAGGCTCTCCGCATCCCCACTTTGTTTCGTTCTGAACCTCTCGATTTCTCACCATTGAGCGAATAACTGGCATGCCCATAAGCGTCAAGCCTTGGGATGATGACCAAAACAAAAGCCAAAGGAAAAATGGCGCGACAAGCGACCAGCCTGGCGGCCACCCTCCTGACCGGGAATTGGCCTTGAAGGGCTCTCACCTCAACGAAAACGGTAAGGTGAGGG